AGTTGGGAATAAAAAGGAAGAAAATTTGGGAATACAAAGAAGGAAAATCCCAATTTTTGGCCCCTTCCCGGGGAAATTCCCGCTGGAATTTTTTTATTTTTCTTTTTTTTTTTTTTCCAATTTTTGGGATCCAAATTCCAGGAATGTTCCGGAAATTCGGGATCCCGGATTCCCTTTTCCAGAGGGGAAATTCCAGAAGGTTCCGGGAGGTTCCGAGGCTTTTCCGGAGGAGTTTTAATTGCAGGGATTCTCTGGAAAAGGGAAAAAAAAGAGAAAATTCCGATTTTTATCCCAAAATTCCGATTTTTTTATCCCAAGTTCTGACTTTTTATCCCAAAATTCCGATTTTTTTATCCCAAAATTCCAATTTTTATTCCAAAATTCTGATTTTTATCCCAAAATTCCAATTTTTATTCCAAAATTCCGATTTTTTTTATCCCAAAATTCCGATTTTTTTTATCCCAAAGTTCCCATTTTTTATCCCAAAATTCTGATTTTTTTATCCCAAAATTCCAGATTTTTATCCCAAAATTCCAATTTTTATCCCAAAATTCCGATTTTTTTATCCCAAAATTCCAGATTTTTATCCCAAAATTCCGATTTTTATCCCAAAATTCCGATTTTTTTATCCCAAAATTCCAATTTTTTTTATCCCAAAATTCCGATTTTTTTATCCCAAAATTCCGATTTTTATCCCAAAATTCTGATTTTTTTATCCCAAAATTCCAATTTTTATCCCAAAATTCCGATTTTTATCCCAAAATTCTGATTTTTATCCCAAAATTCTGATTTTTATCCCAAAATTCTGATTTTTCTCCCGAAATTCCAACTCCCAGGAATCCTGGATTCAGCTCCAGGGCTGGAATTCCAGCTGGAATTTTGGGATGGAATTTTGGGATGGAATTGGAGATGGAATTTTGGGATGGGATTTGGAGCTGGAATTTGGGCACAGAGAAGGAATCAGGTGACAAAAATGGAATAAAAATGGAATTTTTTTCTCGTTTTTCTCCCGAAATTCCAACTCCAAAGGAATCCCGGAGCTGGAATTCCAGCTGGAATTTTGGGATGGAATTTTGGGATGGGATTTGGAGGTGGAATTCGGGCACAGAGCAGGAATTTGGTCACAAAAATGGAATAAAAATGGAATTTTTTTCCCGTTTTTATCCCAAAATTCCAACTCCAAATGGATCCTGGAATCAGCTCCGGGGCTGGAATTTTGGGATGGAATTTTGGGATGGAATTGGAGCTGGAATTCGGGCACAGAACAAGAATCAGGTGACAAAAATGGAATAAAAATCGGAATTTTTCCCGTTTTTCTCCCGGAATTCCGCCCCCCGGCGACCCCCCCTCACCTCCGGGTGTGGAATTCCGGCCGGGATCGGGGCTGGAATCCCGGGAATGCTGGCGGGTGACGCTGTGGGCGCAGCTGAGGAAGTGCTGGGCCTGGGGGCCGCAGGCGGCCGCGTCCCGGGGCCGCGCCCGGA